TGGCGTCGGTTCACCAGCGCATATGCATCCGGAGATTTAGTGTTGCAAAAAATGGGGTTGGTAGTAAAGACCTGTGTCCGAAAGTATTATATATTTTTCATTTTCAATTTATAGGACATGCAGAGCACGCGCTATTCATTTGCGACAAAATTGTCAGTATTAAAAAATTGTGGCATCAACGAAAATATATTACATTATCCAAAATTATAAAATAGCTATTAATTACACAATGTACCGTGAAGCTATCAAAACACCACGACGGCTGCTTAGAATACGAAATTACACATATTAGAAGAAATCAGAATCCAATAAAAATCTTAAAATTATACGAAAAAAAAAAAATAAAAAATAAAAAAAATTTAATTCCACTTAAAAAAATCCATCTTAAAAAAAAAAATAAAATTCCACTTTATTCCACGTAAATCTTTTATTCTCGCGGCATCAACTGAATCCTATTAGATCGCCAGTTGAAGGCTCATTAGTTGCATAGGGCTGTTAAAGGCCATTAGCTCGCATCCATCTCCCGACAACGGAAAGTTCGATCCGCGATCTTGCTTATCTCGGAGCGGCACGGACCGGCTATTTTTGCCGGTAGCACATCCGGGCGTTATCTTTCGCGCCGGTACGTTACCGATAATGGTGGCAGTCATTCGCAGATGATACGCTGAGATAGCACAGGCGATAGGCGAGGATGGAAAATGCGGCGGCGGCGGCGGCGGTCGAAATCCGGCTAATGGTTTCACTGAATCAAATCGGAGCGGCCGGCGTTTAACGGGGCAAACAGACAGAAAATGGAGCGCGACCGCATATAAAGAGTCGATGATAACGAAATGATATATGGCGACCGCGCGCGCTCGCTCGCTCGCTCATTCGTTCGGCCGTTCGTGCGAATGTATATACAGGGAGGCGAGAAATGAGCCAAACCCGGCATTGCCTTGCCCTGCCCGCCACCCGACTCGGAGGCCCTTTCGCCTCGGCTTCGCGATACACCCTCTATGTAATGCAACTTCCATCCCCCTGGCTGGCGGTGTGATTGATCGGCGTGGAGATACCGGACGATATTCACCGCAGGATTAAGTGAATGCGCGGCCACTTAATAATCCTTATATTATATATCCCCCTATTTTGAGCCGAGTAAATGTGCGGGTCCGCGTTGCGTTTGTTGTCCGGGCGTCAAAGAATAAAGCTGCTGATAAATGGTAATTTTGTTGATGATCTCGAGATTAGAAAAGTCGGAAGAGTGATGTAAGATGCGTTAAAGCGTGCTCTTTTATAAATAGAATGACGCAAAGTAAAGCTTGTGCTTTGATCGCCATATTTCGATTAGCTCGGATTCTACAACTATGTGAGGAACTTTAATAAGGCTAATGCGACGATTGAAGCGGAAGTTACGCCAGTCCCATGGGAGAAGGAAGTTCATGGAGAAGCTTAAGAATATATGTTTCCACTGTCGCGCTGCCTACCGAAGCGTTGCTTAATAATCTTCCCCGGGTAATGGCAGGATAATCCAATAGCGCCGTCTAATAATTATCGATTCCATTAGCAAGGATGCTATAAAAATTGTTCCTGGCAAGATCTCACACTCGGCAGCAAAACGAGCATCTTAATTGGATATAAAATTCTTCCTAATAGTAACATATGCTCATTGTGTAATAGTATTGACATTAATGTATTTTTAATATGAACTTGTTGCTTCTAATTTATTTTGTCGAAAAACATTCACGAAATTCTAATGTTCTTTGTAAAATTAGTCTTTTTAAAAAAGAAATTAATTTTTTTAGTTTAATTACTTAGAATATCCTTATAAAATACTGATATTAAAAGAAATATACTTTTTGAATTACATTTAGAAAAGTTTATTCAATTAACAAGATGTCTAACGTGTCTAAAGATTGTCAAAATCTTTTATTTCTTTCTGGAGAATTTCGAAAGATTCATCGATTCTATGATACATTAAATTCTATGATATGTTAAACATTTCATTTTTTTGAGACAAAATATTTGTAAGGATATTAAACATAAGAAATATAATATAACTTTCGAGCTACATTTGCGAAGAATCTGTGCAAATAAAGTAGGAATCTTTTATTTCTCGAGAATCGGAATCGCCGGCAGCGAGCGATAGCGGGAACGATTGCTTTAATATTCAACATCCGTAATAGCCGGACATGAGGTTTAGGATTCGTTCAATTATTCAAATCACCGCCTCGTTAGGTCGGTCTAAATCGAGATCTCGGTTATGTCCGGAGGTTGCCTGGGAGGAAATCTAAATTTGCTCGTCGTGCAGTTAAATGTTGCATTAGCTACATACGAAAGCATAATTTATGCATGTGCCAACCAGGCGCGAGGCCGCCGATACCTGATCGATAGCTAGCGCCACGTTTACAATTGATCGAAATTAAAGACGCAGTGCGGATATTCTGTTCTCTGTTAAAAGCACCGTCCTTCCCTTCTGGAAAGAAATTTTCAAGGAGCTAAAAGAGAAGCCAAAATTCTTCCGTTCGCGCTGCTAGCCAAAAGCTTTCCTAGAGACTTTAATGCTCGTTGCCGAGCTTTAAATAATGCATGAACAGTCAGTCAAAAAATAAGCGTCCAAGAGGCCCGGAAGAGAGTTCTTTCCTTTCTCCAGTCGACCGGCAGTCGGCACGCCGGAAATGAAAACGTAGACAAGCAGCATTCATTTCTGATTCAGGCGAAACATTCACCGAGACAGGAGGATAGCTCGATGAACACGGAGTGTAACCATACATAATCGGGGGAGCTCTTGAAAAATTATTATAAGTATTTCCTAAGTAAAAACATTAGACTGATTAATTTAATATAATATTTAATTTAATAACATATATTAATTATAATTTAATATAATATTTATACATATAACATATAATAATTTTATTTCATAATTTATACATATAACATACATATAATATACATAATAATTTAGACATATAACGTATAATAATTATACATTTAATATAATATTTAATTTAATAACAAATAAAGGAAAAATTTTATCGTAATAATAGTTATATTGCAAAATCCATCGTACTGTTATGTTGAATGGCGGGACGAGGGTCTTGGTCATTTTCATCCAGGATTGCCTATTAGTGCTTAATCGGTGCCTGATTAAAAATTACAGATTAAAGCTGCCCCGCGGGAGTTTTCGAGCTGCCCGGCACGGCTGACCAAACCGTAACTAAGTTTCGTACACGCCCTCGGGCTGTGTTGACTAAATTTCTCGAGCAGATAATCACGAGGGTGGCGTATACTTTTACATCCTTGAAGCAAGAGGAAGTAAGCTCGGCAATCTTCTGATCTCGGTTTACTTTGGTTGAAAATTCTGTTTTTATATACATTGCTGACATGTTTAAACTTTAAAAAGTATTTATTGCATATTAATTATCCATCTCTTTTAAATTTTGTGGCATAAGAAACGATATTCATCATCAACGAAAGACTTAAGAAATATAAAATAATAGAAATATTTAAAAAATATAAAATATACGTCCCTTAATAAATGTATTAATCTCAAGAATTTTATTCATAGAAATTATAATATACAGAATTAATATCGCGAGCTTAAAAAATTTGTAATGGTTTCTATGAAGCTTAAATTCCCTAGAATGCTTGCGAAAATAGAAAGAACTTAAATTATTTAATAAGATAGTGTTTTTCTCTCGTTCTCGCAAAAACTCTCGTGACGTCAAGAGATACATCTGGCTGGATTACATCGTTCATTTTCTCACACGCACGCCTGTACGATTAATTGCCAGCAAAACTCCGAACCATGGGTGCGCGTAGTCGGCGAGTATTTAGCATAAAATGTAAAATAAGCCGTGGCTCGAGCATAAATTGTATTCCCATTAGGAGAGTCGCGGGGCGCTAGTCGGGGAAAGAGGGGGTACATTTGAATACGAGCGGATTAAAAATTAAATATTACCGCGGAAAAGGGCCGGCGATTAGAGCGCGCACGGCAGGAATGAAAAACCGTCCGTACGCGAAGGGCGGTGGAAAGGCAAAGCGTTAGGGGGAAGGGGAGGCCCGAGCAACGCAAGTTGCGCAAAATAAAGCAGACGGCGTCATGGTTCTTGCAAAAAAAAAAAAAGAATTAAACGCTCTTTAATAATTCGCAATCGAGGCAACGAGGCGTTGCCGATTCGACGGCGAATTTTTTAGCGGCTCGCCCACACTTGAAAAAGAACGAGGTGTCTTCCTGTCACGCTATATCAATAGCGCTTATTAAAGATAAATTAAAAATTATTCTCTTCGACTAAACTGGCGCTTCAGTTAGACAAATCTTTAGGATTTTCCAATGCGAATCTATCAAAGTTCGGCTGATAACTCCGCGAATGCAAATATAATAATCGCAGCTGCAAATCACTATACATTCTCCCGAGGCCGTGATATCGCCGCGGCTGCGGCCCCATAACCATTTTTCACAATTTCTGGCAGGCGGTGGCGGCGGCAGCAGCAACGCGAGCTCGGCACAAGTGGCCGTATCTCGCGAGCTCTCTTTCTTCTCCGGGACATTAAGGCCCCGGAGCGGCGCGAGCGAAACGGTTAACTAAGACATCAGTCATAATACGCGAGACAACCGGATGCCGAGGCAGGCTGGGGGCGTAAAGGGTCCTCGTAACTTCTCGTTTGCCCAGCTTTTGTTTGTGATACCCCCGCGCGGCCGCGCGCGACGTATCTCGCCAGAAACTGCTTTTATGTCTCGACGAGATCCGTACATCAAAGTTTATAGGCTGAGAACGAAGATACAACGAAACGAGGTGTCGTTAAACTTGCGGCGAGATGCGACTCGTGAATATTCGATTACGCGAACGATCATGGAGGCGTAACGCGTGTATAATGTATGCTTTACTTTAAGAAATTTTTAACTCTCTCGAGGCGCGGTTAGAAAGATATTTCATATTGTATTAAAAATGTTATGCCTAGATAAGCATTTAGATATTATAGAGAAAATATATCATTTCATCATTTTTGTTATTTTACAGATCAGGACGCTGAACACGGCAAGAGTCAACTTTTAACGCAACAGTCCTGTAAGTGCACTTTGTTTATGAAATATATTTAAATTGTAAATCGGCGGAATCAAATTCGTTGAAAATTCAACTTCTAACATTAGTGATAGGCCGTGTAAGATAGACAAATGCGTTCTGGTCAGTTGGGAAAGACCGGGACGGGATGGGAGATTTACAAGTTTAGTTACCGGCGATCACACCCCTGGGACTTGGGCTTGATGGGACGCGCCGGCTATCGATATGAAGTTCAGCAGAACTCTTCGTGTACCAGAGTTGGCTGGCAACTCTTTTCGGTCAAACGATCGTTATATAGTTTGAATTTCGTAAAGAAGGATACGTTTTCGAGATAACTATCATTAAAATATTACCGCTGAAATGAGAGAGATGTCTCCCCCCTTCTAAAAATATCTTCGACATCGCCGAAGGATTTACGCGAACTGGAATGGCCAGGTTTCGCCGACGTCCGTCGCCAACAAATCTCTTCTACTTCCTAACCGTTACGGATAGCCGGCCATTAGAGTGTCATCTTTTCCCACATTTATGAATGACCAGTCGCGGATAAGCCCTTGTGGAATATATCGTCGTAGAACCGGCATACCGTGCGCCGACGCATTTGTTTGAATTACTTTATATCCTACGATTTTTTATTATCAGTATCTCCTTCGACCATACGTGCCTATGCGGCGAGCGCACGAAACCGCAGCGTTTTCTCTGTCGGAGAAATATATCGCGTCCTCGTCTTATCTCCTCTCGCGAAAGAAATCGCTCGTGCGTATATCGGTTCATGAAACTCACCCCCCAGTTTCAAGTAGCATTCAATTTTCACGAGAACGAGAGAGATCTTCTTCAAACATATATGTATCTCTTATCTCATATTTACGAAGCCTAAGCAAACTCTATATATATTTTAAAAGATACGCCGAGAAAAGCATAATTATAAAGAAACTTGATCGAATAAGAAAAGTACAAGGATGATTCTGAAATCATTGCCATTTGATAATATCCTCACAGTGATATTTTTTTGCTGATATTTTACGCGTAAAAAAATTCAATGTCCGAAATGCCCCTCTGTGTCAACTTGCCCCGACAATACTGTGCTACTGCAAAATACAGCGTTAGTTCGTCCCGGATCGTCCCGTTCGGCGGTCCAAAACCGCGTCGCATAATGGGAAAATTTGCGTAAACGACGGGGTCATTAAACGCCCCCTCTTGCGCGCGAATGTGCGTGGCGGTCGCCAATGTGGAGACGGGGCTATAACTCGCGGTAATACCAACCTAACCGTGTACCCATGATTATAACGCTGCCAATTAGTCAAGCCGGCTTAGGATGGCAACCGTGCCCCGGAACAAACGTCTATGTATACATACACATGTGTACATGTTTTCTCCCTCTCCTTCTCTCTCTCTCTCTCTCTCTTTCTATCTCTATTTTACCACGTAGCAGCCGTCACAATTCGATACGAAAGGGAACATTCTCGTATATAAGAACGAGTACTTGAAAATATCCAACTTTTATACCGCGGACAAAGCCTAGTCTTAGTTTTCAGCTTTGACGGAATTTAAATGACATGTTCGAAATTTCTCGTTAATTGAAATTTATATTTTAAAGCCATGAAAAATCCTTGAAAAATCTTTCCATTTAATTTCTTTACGTACCTAAATTTGAATACAATAAGATGATGTGATTCTCTAAAAAGAATAATCGATTTCATTTATTTATGAAAGTAAATGCAGCGAATACATTTCGACGTCCCATATGTTTTATAAAAGGATTAAGATCTAAGCTTTGTAGTGAGTAATACGTTATTCTTCACCGGTGATTATATCGGCGTTTCGCGATACGTCGTCGTGTTTCATGCAATGCGGGAGCAGCAGCGGAGCAAGTTTAGTAATTATTTAGCTAAATTGCGGAGCACTTGGTGCCGCGCGACGCGGCATGTGTTTGTAACCGGCGAAAAATCTCTGAATTAATGCTCCGCCATTAATTACGTTTATGAGTCCAAATTGTCTCGGTAGCACGGAATTTATGCAAATGTAGTTTGCGAATTCGACGATCACGTCTGCGGATGCCAGAAAGCGCCGTGTGCGCGGTTTGCCCTAAAGCGCCAAGTGTGTCTGTAATTTGCTATATAACGCGATACGTACGTGATGCACAGTTGCAAACATCCCAAATATAACGATATAGCATAAAGTTTCTTTGATTCGAGAAGTTCTGATAAAAGCTTTCTTCGGGAGAAAATCCTATATGCGCGATATGTAAAATTTTGAGATAGGTCACACATGCGAGAAGGGATTAATATAAAATATTGTTAATGATTAAATTAAATTTTTTTATTTTGTGTCATTATTATTATTATTTGTAATTAATATTATAAATTTAAGTATATTAAATCTCTCCGTTATTTCAATTCAATAATATTTATATATTTAATTCTCGACGTTAAAATTAATGAATTTAATGCTCTACTTTCTACCGGGCGACAAACAGTCCTTACAGACAGCTGGCCAGCGATTTCGCGTGATATTAAATTTAACAGAAACACGCGATTGTAGTAGGTTCCTGTTTTACGTTGCTATCCAAAGGCAGCGTTGCGATAAAAATTATTTAGCGCTCACTCGCGCCTGACCTCTCTCGTCGAGCGGGAATCAGATTTCCAATCCGATCAATCCGACAGGCCCGGCTGGCCGGTTAATTTTACTTTGTATCACTACCGACTACTTTTTTGCCTTACCGGTGAGCGCGGCCGCTGACAGGGTATGCGAACTGACGTATTCCGCACAACGGAGCGGAACGGCGTTGCCGCGGAGTGACGGAACCAGGAATAACGTGCCCTTAACGAATCCGCAAATTGAAAATCTCCGGTGCGACTGCATCGCTGATTTCCAAGAGGCGGTCGGCCGTCCGCGTTTGTTTTCGCCTACGTCCTCTCCGCCGCCCCGATTCCAGAACACTGACCCCCTAGCCCGAGGCCGCAATTTTCTCTCTCGCTCCCCTTCTCTTTCTTTCTCGCTCTCCGACGCGGCATAGGTATCAGCTGTTTAATTAATTTCGCCTTGTCCCGCGCAAATGAAATGGAGGAGTATAATATGCGATCTGACGCGCCGGCTTTAAAAAGCGTCCATTCGGCGCGCACGTTACATCGCTTGTTTTTTTCAGGATATTTTTCAAGATAGACTCGCGTATATTGTTTACCAACAATTTCTTGTTGAAAAATTTAGAGAAACGAGATTGCACGAAAATTAGTTTTTTTTTTTTTTACAAATAATACGGCGTACACTGCAGTATCCAAATGACAAGCTTGACAAGAAGATACTTGAGACGATAGAAATTAACATGTAATTTTTGCGATATACAAATTGTAGAGATTAAATTAAATTAGCGTAGAATGCAAGTATACGCGTAAAATATACCTGTTATATTTGTATCAAAAAATAGATTTGCTTTAATCTCGTTAATCGAAAATTTGTCCACCTTTCGATTTGCGCTCGTTAATCGAGTACGGGCGGGCGACAGCGGGCGCTTTCACGGTGTCCATCACAGCGGCCGCTATTAGGGTAGCTCTTGTAAAGTATGGATTTGGACCAATCGTATAGATGCCGCGGGATAGGCACCTATCGCGTGTTTCGAGGATGCCGCGGGCCACGCTCGATACCAGCTTTATTAGTTCGCGGTAATAAATCAGGAGACAGATCAATTTTGCAGTGCCTTCTCCCCCCTCCCCCCCTTCCTGATTTCCGTCCTGGGGACATCAGATACAAAATTTGCAGCTCGCTCGTGCAAACTGCGCCAACGTTTCTTCCGGTTTTCAGCTTTGTTATCGAATATCCACGCGGCCGGTATTTCATAAAATTTCAACGATATTAAGCATCGAGTTTACGCTGTATTTGAGTTTTTCATTTTCTCGATCGAGAAAGAGTTATCTCTCTCTCTCTCTCTCTCTCTCTCTCTCTCTCCTCTTTTCTTCTTTTTAAATTTATTCTTTGTTTGATATCGAATTTGCCTTCTCTCTGCAAGTTACGCGTTTAGAAAGCAAGTTTCAGTATCGTATTTATATCTACATCGTTTCGACAGCTTGAAGAGATCACGCGCTATAATCTTTTCGAGAGCTTTTTGGAATATTAACTCTCTAGCACTTTTACACCCCCCCCCCTGATACAAAACTATGGTACAAACGTAACGTTGATCGTATCGTTATTGCTTTTTACGTTTACTTTTCATCCCAACTATAACAGAGCGCGGCAATTGAATTTTGCCAAAGCCAGACATCGCTCGCGCTCTCGCGAGCGCGAGAGCGAGCGACATCCGTCAACAGTAAAATTCAAAGCGGCAACTTTTGGAAAAATATCGTCGCCCCCGGACGCGCTCGAAAGCGCGCGTGGCACAAACGAGAAGGTAAGCTCGCCGTTTGACGTTTTTCGACGGGTTAGTACGACGACACGTCCGGCACAGAAATTAGCGTTACCGTGCGCGGCGCCGTTGGTTAACGATAGGCAGGGAGGGATGGTTGAAAAGGGCGGGAGGGAGGAACGGAGGGAAAGCTCTGCGTTCGCGAGGGTGACCAGGCGGATGGCTTCCATATACATACATCGACAGGCGCACATCGATTATATGCTCGATTAATTCGCGACCATGCCGAACCCTTGGTCCGTACGTCCGTCCATCCATTCGCTAACCCGCTCGGCCGTTTGCTTGTTCGCTCGCTCGCTCGCTCGCTCGCCCGCGCGCTCACACATGTGGGATCGATCCCGCGCATGGACATACGCACTTAGCGTTTGAAACTTTGCGCCTATTGTCGACGAAATTTTTAAAGCAACGCTAAGAACACAACTTTGATTAGAAAATGTATAATTTGATTTTTGCATTAATTTTCATTTAATTAGTTATATTATTTCTCTACATTAATCGTATGATTCCAGTTAATTTTTTTAATTCGTTAATATGGAGTGTAATTTAGTGTTAGACTGAGATGCTAGACATTTAGAGGAATTTATAAAAGGTTTATTTTTTAAAATAAAATTTA